TCACTGTAAACCACGGCTTCATGGGGCTTATTGCTTTTATAAAACGGTTATTCCATATACGTAGTAAGGTTTCACAAAATAAAACAGAGCAAATAAAGTGTAATGATATTAATAAAAACAGTATTCTTCCACCAAACAATGTAGTTCCTCAGAATCTGTTGTGGTTGCAACAAAGTGGTTGCCGAGCAACACACAAACGTAAACAAAGGTGTATGTTACTTTGTAGAGTAATGTACAACAGATTCGAACTCAGCCAATCAGAATCAAGCACCGGAACTATCTGTTTTATAATACAAATTAAAAATGACTGGATTTCCTCTACACGCTTAAAAATAAACGTTTAAACAGTGTTTTCAGTGCCATTGAAGAGACATTTTTTAGATCCGCCCACAGTGCAGTTACTGTGCTTTTTCTAACTGTAGTACATTTTCCATGCTCCAGGGGGTTCTCTCAAGGAGAGTGTCCGAGATTTTGCTTTTCATTACCGGGCATTGTGTATGAGATGGAGGAAAAAGATGACTGAGAAGGAGATAGTTCAAGCTATCCTAAGGAACTGCAATCCCCGACTGGCTAGCCTGTTGAGAGGGACTATCAAGGATGTGGAGGAGCTGGTTCGGATAGGAACTCAAATAGAGAGAGACTTTGATGAGTCTAAGAGGTACTGGTGTCAGGCTAATGGTGAGGAGCAGAGGAAGAAAACAACTATTCCTGAGCGTCAACGGAAGCCACCATATGCAAGTAATCAAGTGGTGCAAGCCTGTCAGCATTCAGTACAACGACAAGATTTCAAGAACATCGCCATTCCAATAGTCCTGCAAGGCAGGTATGTTGTCACCATAATTGATACAGGAAGTACCTTCTCATTGATCCAAGAGTCCTTGTAGAAACAGTTGTGCCGGCAAGAACCGTATCAAGTAAGCGGAGAGCAATCTTTTCTGTTGGCAAATGGACAAAGACAAACTGCAGTTGGGAAGGTGAATTGGAAATGCGAAGTGCAAGAACAGGCAGTGCCTTTGACATTTTACATCATGCGGGATATTGACCTGACCGTTCCAGTCATCCTAGGAATTGATTTTCTACTTAAGAGTAGAATGATATTAGACTTTAGCAGAGCTCATTACAGCTTACCCACTAAAGATGGAACTGAGGGAGTAAACTCTTTTCCCTTCCTTCACCACAATATGTATCCTTCACTGCACTTTTACCTTGCAATAACTTCTCCGGGTTGCAATAATGAATCCAGACAACAAATACAACAACTCATCCAAGCAGCAGACACTGAACTACATGTTAGAAAACCACTGGAGGAATTGTTGTTAAGCTGGCCTTCAGTGTGTACCCAGGAGATTGGATGGACTAACGTTATAAAGCACCGTATCATAACTACAGATGAGGTGCCAGTGCGGCGGTGTGCATACAAGATTTCCAGGGAAAAGCAGCAGTTTATTGAGTCAGAAGTGCAAGAGCTTCTAAAAAAGGGAGTTATTCAAACATCCACCTCTCCGTGGGCTTCTCCTGTAGTAGTAGTCCCGAAAAAGGACGGCGGATCCAGATTCTGCATCGATTACAGAGGTCTAAACTCTAAAACTCATCTAGATGCCTATCCAATGCCGCAAATTCAAGAGATCTTGGAGTCATTGCATGGAGCTACAATCTTCAGCACTCTGGACCTTAAAAGTGGTTACTGGCAGCTAGAGATGGAACCAGACAGTATCCATAAGACAGCGTTTGTAACATCAACTGGATTATATGAATTCCTGTGTCTTCCTTTTGGCCTGAAAAATGCCGCAGCATCCTTTCAGAGGCTAATGGAACATGTGCTACGAGAAGTTAAAGGAAAATGTTGCATGGTGTACATTGACGATATCGTTGTGTATTCCAAATCCATCACCGAACATCTACAACATCTTCATCAAGTTCTCGCATGTCTCCATAAAGCTGGTCTCACTCTTAACTTAAATAAATGCAACCTCATTCAGAAATCATTAAAGTTCCTCGGTCACATAGTCTCAGAAAAAGGAGTGACCACAGACCCGACCAAGGTTGCTGCAGTAAAGTCTTTTCCAGTACCTCAAACTGTTAAAGATGTGCAAAGATTTTTGGGCCTAGCAGGCTGGTATCACCGATTCATTCCCCAGTTTTCTGAAAAAGCTGCTTCCTTGCACGCCCTAAAACAAAAGAACGTCACTTGGTCTTGGACTGACCAGTGCCTAAAGGCATTTGACACCCTCAAGCAAGACCTAGTACAAGC